GCAGACAGGAGCAAACAGCTCTGCTCTCCAAGCAAGAAAGCAACCTGTGTCCTCCGTGACCTGTGAGCTTTTAAAAGAGAAACCTGTGCAGTGAGGAGCAAACCCAGACTGGACCTGGATCACTGTACCTGGACAACGAGCAGTGAGCTTGAGCAGTGGGCAGGCAGGAGAACTGATTCTCATGGTCAAATCTATAAGCCAGGCTCTTCTTAGTTCATTAAGATCCTTACATTTGGGTCTAAGGAAGCATTTTCAGCACTGAGCCCTGCTCTTTCCTAGTTCCTGACAGCTGTGCTGATAGGCAGGCAACTCATGTCCCCATGTTGGCTGGTGACCTAGATGTTTAGGCTGAAACTTAATGGGAGCAAAGGGCTACCTTGGACAAGGCTTGTTTAAGGGGATTTACTTAGAAAAAGAATAACAGTAAAGGATTAAGCTGAAGGACATTCCTTTCTGCAGCGTGAAAGACATACAACAAGAATTTACCTAGCATTTGTTTGTGATTCTAATAATCCCAATGACTAGGATAGAGAAAGCAAGAGCTGGGGTAGGTTCCTATCTCTCAGCAAACCAACATCCTGAAAGCCAAAATGAAGTTTTCTGGAAGATACTGTTCTCTTATTTTTCTCCCCCAAAGTTTTAAAAGAAAGGTATTTAATCTTTCTTAAACCTAAATACTAAAGTGTTTGATTCCAGGATCTAGAAATTATGTCTCCAGCAAAGCCATGTGGAAAAATGTGGGAACAAAGTGGCTATTTTGAGAACCATAAGAAATCATAACCATATCTCGGAAATCAAGACTGACCTTTAAGCAGCTGACAATAGTCCTAAAATGGTTTCTCATCACTGAAAGCCCAATCTAACATAAATTAGAATAAATTAAAAGCTATCACTGACTTCTATGAGTATTGGATTAGACCATATAAAACCCCCCGAATGCTGGAAAGCCAAGAAAATTATTATGGTAAATCTAAATTTCAGAGAAGTCCTGCAGGCTTTAAAACATTGCTCTATAGTCCCATTAAAGTGTATTTCCACTTAGCTCATGAATAATTCACCTTTCTCTTCCTTCTGATGGATGATGAGTCCCACAACAGTTAAGCCTAAACCCAACATAAGGCCCTGTGTTCCTGACAGCTTCTTGCCTATGGCAGATCCACAATGTGTCCCTGTTGGAAAAGGAGCTCAGAGAGTTAGGGCTTGGGCTAGACATTGCTTTTCCATAAAATAACTTTACCGGTTTGCTGAGTATTCCATTAGGGGTTGACATGATCCTTCCCAAGATTTCCAGCATTCCAATTTTCAGTTTCTTACCCCTGTCCATGATGATGGGTGCTGATATGCTCCAGCTGCCAAGTACAGACATGCCCCTGCTTGGGTGTAACTCCCAAAGCGACCAGGCTGGAAAGACCAATCTCCACTTGGGAGGAGGATCCTTGTACACATCTTTGAACCACCTGATCCTGATTTCAGCAAGATAAAATCTTGTTGTGGAACAAGACAGCTTGTTGGGATGGCCCAATGGCTCTGTTTGCACAGGGGAAAAAAAATCACTCTGGTCTTTAGGAGAGTGAGACAGAAAACCCTGTGAGACGGGTTGCTCTTTTCCTCCTGTTCCATCCTCCTCAGATTTTTTCCCCATTACAACACCTATGGAAATCACACGATTTTTTTCCCTCAAGCCCATTTATCAGCTTATTTTTCAGCTCAGACCCACTGCCTTCAACATGACCTTGCATTACACATCTCCTAGCCATATTATCCTAATCTTCTTTCTTACTCCCCTCAGTGAAGGAACATCATAGAAGATGCAATCTACTTGTACCAGAAAGCTCTCATGGGGGCATTTCATCTTCTCTCATCTCTGAGGTGGGTCCATTGCTCCAAGGGCTACTGGGAGTTGCATCTGTGAGGCTTAGAAGTACCTGCTCCAAGCTGTTTGCCAGGACTCCTCTGAGACATTTCCTTCAGTCTCAGTCTCATAATAAAGATATTACCCACTCTGGTCCATGGCACAACATGTGTTGGTTTCCCCAGATCCTTAGATCCTTAGTTCCCCTTGATTGGGAACACTCCTTGTCTTTAATGGGCACTCTGATACCGTCCCTTAGAAATCTTTCGCTTTTTTTCAGTTGCATTTTTTGAGGACTGAGGAAAATCACAAGTCCAAACAAGTATCATGGGAATGTTCTGGCTATAAGGGAGGCTAAAAACCTCAGAACTAGAAGGGACCAGGACAGACTTGCTTCCAAAGCAGAATCATAGAATCATAGAATGCTGAAGGTTGGAAGGGACCTCTCGAGGTCATCTAGTCCAAACCCCCTGCATACGCAGGGACACCTAGAGCACGTGGAACAGGACTGCGTCCAAGTGGGTTTTGAAGATCTCCAGAGGAGACTCCACAACCTCTCTGGGCAGCCTGTTCCAGTGGAACTGGATGGAGTTCCTCCTCCACCTTCTAGGAGAGAGAAAGTGAAGGAATAGAAAGTTTGGAAGGTTTGACGGGGGACTCCGTGTGAAGATGGACTCTGCAGCTAAAGCACCAGTTCTGGTCAGCCACAGCATTTGAGAGCATTTCTGCTGCTGGGTGAAGGCTCAGCACCATGGGGATGGTGACCCGCAATGCACAGCACTAACTCCTTGCTCCCACTTATAAACTGACACTCCTCGTTTGGAAGCTTTTTTACTATCAATACTCCAAGCTTTGTCCACAGAATCCCCACCCAGTTGCGAGCCAAAGAAAATCAGTATTTCTCCTTGTCCTTTAAACTTTCCTTTCTGCAGTTACTCCGACAAGCAGCTTTTGGCCTCCAGCTCAGACTTAATCTTAGGGCAAAAGATCAGTTACTAATCTAATTCACAAACTGTACCAGAATTTCCTATTACTCTTACCCATCGTCAGCAGTCCTATGCCATCTCCTCTGGTCATCAGTTTGCCTGTTGTTTTTTCTCCTATTTGCTGCATCCTTCTGCTGTCACCTGGAGCCAACCCAGCCTCTCCTTTAGGGTCTTCCAATCCTTGGCATGGGGCAGACCCACTGCTCTCGTGCCAGCTGGGTGACATTTGTGCACCGAAACATCTCTCCACGTGCATCAAAAGGCTGGAATGAGTCTGTGCTCCTAGTCCCGCTCCCCTTGGCCTTTCTGCATTCCTCTCCTGTCTCTCCATGCTGCAACCACCACAGGCCGGTGCTCCAGCTCTGCATCTCTAATTCCTCAGGAAGGCCTTTCAAGGTTGCTCTGTCTAGCCCCAGAGCTGCAGGTGGGGACAGCAGCCAAGGGGGAACAAAGCGAGAGGTGCAGGAGGGCCCTGGAAAGCAGCTCAGGGACTTTTGAGGACAAGGTACTTTTCATCCATAGATAAAAAGCACCACAGGGAACGCCCAAACTGGGTATCTACAAAGCATTTTTCTTTTCTTTCCCACAAGCCCAGCTTGTTTCCTTTAAATGAGGTCTCTGGTCAGCGATTCTTTATGTATCAGAGACTTTGCAACGAGGCAGGGATTCATCCCCATACAAACTTGGTGTCCATCAAGGCTTCCTTACAGCACCTTGCAGTCCCGGGACATTTCACCTCTGCTACTGAGGAGGGGAAGGAGATGGACACGGGGAGGCTGATGGTGAAACCGTGTCACAGCGCTCTCCAAGAACGGTGCTGGGACACGGACCAAACATCCAGCAACACCCGAGACGGGGTCAGCTGCCGCCTTTCAGCAGAATAATTGCACAAAAGAGAGCAAACTCACAGAGCAGGCAGCCACCAGACCAAAGGGAAGTGCGTGGGCAGCGGAGCAGGCAGCACATGTCTGGCCTGCACAGGGAAACCATGCTGATTTTATCCCTTTTTAACTGTCTGCTTCTTCAGCACGGCTTTTCATCCCGCAGCTCCGAGCAGCTGGAAGGGGCAGACGGCCAGGAGGTGAGAAAATACAAAGGAGAAGGGTCTTGCCCCAAAACGGGACTGTGTGTGTGGAAGTGAGTGCCGCTTCCCGCTGCTCATCCTGTGATTGCAGCCTGCCGGAAGGCAAGGCCCGGCATCCCAAAACGCTCCTCCGGCCGGGAACGCGGCCTCAGCCCGACTCATCCCGAACCCACTGCACTGCGGCCCAATGTGGCAGCCCCGGGGGTGGGGCCTCCCGCCCGGCCCCCCGCGCAATCCCGGTTTCAGTCGCTTTTGCCCCAAAGGATGAGGCTGCAGCCGGACCGGTCCTTGGCACCCTTGTGCAGGGGGTTCTGGGAACGTGCCAAGCTCGGAGCGGGCAGCAGGATCCCTGACCCTGCCATAGGGATCCCTCATTGCCATCCTGGAAATCCCTTGTCTGCCGCTGTGGGGATCCCTTGGCCTCCGCAGGGATCCCCTGGCTCCGTGGGAATCCCCTGCCTCCACCACTGGAATCGCCTCCCTATAGCAGGGAATCCCTAACCCTCTCCATAGGGCGCCCTTATCCTCTCCATAGCGATCCCTAACCCTCTCCATGGAGATCCCCTGCCTCCACCACTGGAATCCCTTGCCTCTACCAGGGAATCCTTTGACCCTACCATGGGGGTCCCTAAGCCTCTCCACGGCGATCCCTGATCCTCTCCACGGCGATCCCTAAGCCTCTCCATAGGAATCCTTTACCCTTTCCATGCCGATCCGTAACCCTCTCCATGCAGATGCCCTACCCTCCCCATGGGAGGTCCCGCCCCCATCATGGCCGCCTAGCCCCGCCCCATCCCTCTCCTCCCCTGGCTCCAGGACAACAACTCCCAGAACCCCTTGCGCCCGCACGCCGGAAGGGGCCCCTCTTCAGCACGTGGCGGCGCTCCGCC